TCGCGGCGCTAGGGGAGGTGGACGGCGCGGCGGCCGTGGGCGGCGGGCAGCAGCAGCAGTGGCATCGGCAGCAGCAAGGGCTGGATCAGGCGGCCGAGTTGGAGGGGGCCAAGGAGCCTGGGGGGCAGCAGCAGCAGCAGGCGAGGCCTGCCTCTGAGGCCGGCCGGGAGGGAGGCGCCGGCGCCGCCGGAATGGGCAGGCGCGGGGGCGGGGGCGGGAAGCATCTGACCAAGCCCCACAGCGCGATACTGCCGGCGGTTTCGAAAATGGGCGGCGCGGGGAGTGCGGGGTTCCCTATGGTGACGGCGCTGGTGCTGTGGCTGGGGCTGGTCGCGTTTTTCCTGCTGGTGCTGCCGCTCGCATTCAGGAAGCGCAGGGCGCGGTCGGGGCAGCGGAGCGACTGAGCAAAGGCACGCAACGCGGCCCGCTGGGACGGTCGGTGAAGCCATGCGGCTGCGGGACAGTGTATTTTGCTGCGTTCCATCCCTGGCTCTGCTCCATGTTTTGTTGATGTGTCGTGCGCTGTGTTGGGACAGCTTTTACAGCAACAGCGGTCACGCCTAGTGGTAGCCAACAACTTTACTTGACTGAACAAACTCTGCCATGCCTTCCTGACCTGACCTTTGGAGCCGCCATGTGACCGTTTCATTTTGTGAATCCAGTTGTCATCGTCGGCAAGTTTCGCCCTGCTGTTATGGCCGTGCTGTGTGGTCATCCCAGTGCCCCGCACTTCAGCACCATGAGCTGTCCTCACAGGCTGTTGCCTTTTTTAAAAAAAGCGGCATGTTACTCAGCACCACAGCTGGCGACACAAGAGCGAGTGCAAGCAAGTCACAGGGTGCCGCTCGGAGGAGCCACAAAATGCCAGCACAGGCTGCCGCCGTCATGGCCCAGGAGCCGTGCACACCAAGGCGGCCCGCACGCCTCCGCCCTTAAAGTCGGCGCCCCCCCCAAACCGCCCGCCCCTGGCGAGGTGTGCACATGCAGGCAAGCAACCACGCGCGGCTCATCAGCCGCAAAGCAGATCACGTGGTCTTGAGCTTGGCGCCGTCGGGGGCGGGCCCGTAGTCGTAGATCACCTCGCGGTGGCACGACCACACCAGCCGGATCGCCTCGGGCGTGCCGATGCCCGCGCCGCGCGGGTCGCCCGCGGGGCCGAACCAGTGGTTCTGGGGGGCGCCGGTGGTGCGGGCGCGCAGGCCGGCGTAGGTGGTGCCGTTGACGGTGTGGGCCAGCACGTGCTGTAGAGGGGGGGGGGTGATGGGGGGTGACATGAAATGGGGTGGGGAGACGGGAGGTGGCTGGTGCGTGAGAGGATCGGTGGGTGGGAGAGTGGGGGGAGGATTAGGCTATGAGGAAGAACGGCGCCCCGCGAGCCTCAAAAGCGGAGACGTGAGTTGGAAGGGGTCGCAACGCAGGCGCGGACGGCAGGCGGGCGCGGGACGTTGAGACATCAAGCAGCCTCGCAGCCAAGAAGCCCTCTGTGAAGCTGGTAAACCCCTCTTCACGCCCCCAGCGGGCACGCGCACCTGCAGGAACTTTGGGTCGTTCGACACTATCGCGGCTGTGAGGTGGTGCGACATGCGCTCCAGGGCGTCAAGCACCAGCTGCAGCTCGGAATCTTAGGGAAGGGGGCAGGGAAGGTGCACGCATCAGAGCTGCTGCAAGGGCAATCTCAAGCATGTGGACCGCAATTGTGGTAGTAATGCTTGCGCACGTGAAAGCACTGCGGCGGCCTAAAACAATCCCAGGCCGTCCCTGCGCCTGCTGCCTGCCGTTGAGTGCGCCACAGCCCTCTGCGCACACCCGAGGCCGCAGCCACGCCCCCAACAGGTTTGCCTGCAAACCGCCCACCAGCACACATGCTTCGACCACCACCATCTACCCCGCAGCCTGGACCCTACTCCCCTCATGCCATACACTTTTTGATGCCCACCCTGAGCCTCCAATAAGCCCCAGCACCCCAGCGCCCCAGCACCTCTCCACCCTGGCACCCCTGCACCCCTGCACCCCTGCACCAACTGGCCAAAATTTTCTGGAACCTCACCTTCATACTCCACGACGACCTGGAAAGGCCCAAACACTTCCGTCGTCGCCGCCTCAAACGCGCCCGCGTCCGCCAGCGCCGCCAGCGGCACGCTCACCGCCGTCGGCTCCACCGCGCCGTAGCACTGTGGGATCGTGTGCCCCGTCAGCGGCCTGCCGCCCCACAGCAGCTTCGCGCCCGGGATCTCGAGCAGCCGCTTCGTGTGTCCGAGGATGGCGTCGGTCGTCCAGGTCAGCACGGGGCCGATGGTCAGGTCTGACAGCTGGCGGCTGGCGGCGCGGGACTTGAGCTTCTCCAGCAGCCCGGCCTTGACCCAATTGCTGTGGCGGTGGGGTGTGTGTGTG